ATTATGTATATATATATATATATATATATATAAATACAAGCACATGCATGTATATATTTAATAAAAAATATGCTGTTTACATATTAAATATATTTATATGTAAAATATAAGAATATAAATATATGTAAATATTTTCAATATATATACTGTATGTGTGTATTTATATATACATAATAAATATACACAGTACACACACATAATTATATAAATAAAATAAAATATATTAAATAAAAACTTATTTTTGATGCGATTAATCGTGATTAATCGTTTGACAGAACTAATATATATGTATGTATATTTATATATATATATTTATTTTATTTTACTTTTTTATGCTGCTATTTTATGTTACAGTAATATGAATTTCTCCAGCCTGAGTAGCGAATACAAATATAATAAATCTGCTTAAAAAGTGAGTTTTATTAACTGAGGGCCAAACAATTAAGAGCGTAAGTTTTCAATTTTGCATTAAAATGTAGAATGCATACAACTACCTTAAAAGACTTCACAGACTTATATTAATGATATCAATTTGAATGTTTATCTATTGACCATCATGACAGAAACACACAATAAGCTTTTTCAACAGGTTGAAATCCTTTCCAGCTTCTCTTCCTCTTTTATACCAAGTCAACAATACGTTAAAATCCACACATACAATAATTGTGGTATGTATCACTTCCACAGATGCTGATTTTTGGATTGTGAATATGTTTTACCACAAAAATGGTCTGGATTCAAGACAGCGATTCCAACATTCAAAGAACAATGCGTTAAGACAAGCTGGCATGTAAGTCGACACGTCCAACACCAGACAAAGCTCATCGCACACAAAATGATTCTGATCATACAAATAACACCCACATATTTTGACAGCCATTTATTATTTGCCATTAAAACAAGAGAATGGCTCGTTATATGTCGCATAGGTTTTTTTTTTTTTTTGAAAAGTAAATATAAAACAAAACATTTTTAGTTTCAGGACAGCACTAAGAGCAAGTGGCTAATACAGAGATTAAGCTGAAGAATAGTTGGGAAAACTGGATTTAAATGCGTGTGGCTAACCATCAGACTCAGCAGATCCCCTCCAAAGCATTTCACAGAACATTCCCAGCATCTTTCCAGGACAGTGTCTCTTTTGAGTTTTATATTGTCGCTGCTTCCTCAACGCAGTAACAATACTTGTTGTCATAGTTGTGGGTGTGACGGTGGGTTACATGGTGAAATGCCTTGTGTAATCGTATTCTATTGTAGGAATGACAGCTTGCACAAATTTCAGGAAAATCAGAAGATACCTGGAGTTATTAAAGTTAAGGGAAATTGTGTTTTAAAAAAAAAAAAAGTTACTCATGATGAGCCAACATAAACATTTGTTCATTACAACATAAACATCAAGAATAAAGGCCCGTTCACACCAAGCACGATAACTATAAAGAGAACGATAAAGATATAGTTCTAAAAATCGTTCTCAATATTAAAGAATAGCATAGTTCACACCACAACTATAACGATAACGATACAGAGGAACGATATCATTGTGATCACTTCCAAAACGATTTTTTTCCAGCTGATGAACGATAAAACACTGACAGCCAATCAGAATCCATCCTGCTGTAACGAGCTCAAGAATTTAAAGCGGCAGTTTATGCGCTTAGAATAAACAGACGATATCGTTCGCTGGTGTGGACGCTAATATCGTTATCTTTATAGTTATCGTTCTTGGTGTGAACGGGGCTTAAGTCTACAAGATGTGTGTAGTTCAGGCACACTACTAGGCATACTTTTTTTGACTACAAGTGTATACTAACATTCAAAAGTTTGGGGTCAGTAAAATTTTCATTAATACTTTTATTCAGCAAGAACACATTAAAGTTACCAAAGGTGACGGTAAAGAGTTAATGTTACAAAAGGTTTCCATTTCATATAAATGCTGTTCTTTTGAACTTTTCCACAGCATAACTGTTTTCAACATTGAGCAGAAAATCAGCATATTAGAATGATTTCTGAAGGATCATGTGACACTGAAGACTGTAGTAATAATGCTGAAAATTCAGCTTTGCATCACAGGAATTTAAATTACATTTAAATATATATTCAAATAGAAAACAGTTATTTTAAATTGTACAAATATTTCACAATATTACTGTTAGTACTGTAATTTTGATCAAATAAACGTGGCTTGGGTGAGCCTTAGTGATTTCTTAAAAAGTAAACTTTAAAAAAACCGTACCGACCCTAGACTTGAACAATAGTGCATGTGCTTATGCATATAATATTGTATTACAACCTTTTTTTATAGAAAGGATACATATGGACCCCAAGTTCTCCTCCTCCTTCCGCCACCGTCTCGATAATCTTTTTCATCACCTCTGCATGTCTGACGAATAACATCAAGAGAGCAGCTCTTTAGTTCGCTGACTGTAAATAAGAGGGAGATGCATGTAAAGTTTGTATTTACCTGCATGGATGCACAGAGCACATAGCAGGTGGGGGCAGGTGGGGATGATTCTCAATGGTGACTGTCTTTTTAACATGATCTTGGCTGATGTCTTCATACAGCTGATCCACCGTTAGAGGCTGTCTGTCCTGAAAAATAAGCACATCATGCAGGGCTTTAACAAAATGTGTTTTACTTTAGTGAACAGACTAATGCAGGCTTACATCATATCACGTTACCATCACGTAAAATCATAATAAAGCAAAGTCACCTCATCATATCCAAACAGCCATAGTCTTGGTGTCTGGTAATATTTATCATATGTGATGTAAAGATCATAAGTTCTTGTCTGTAGAATGGCATCTTCCCCTCCAGCCTCTGGCTTGGTTTTACTTAAATCAGCCATTTTACTTGTGTCAAGAGTTGCCTAAACAAAGAATATGAATGAATAATTCTGCAAAAGCAAATCTTGATGTTGAAAACTCATGTTGCGGATAATTTCTTACTTCATCCGTCTCCAAAAGTCCACTTTCTTCATATTCTGAAATATAAATATAAAGTATATAATTACCAGTTATGGCTGTTATTACCGACTGATAATGTGTCATGAAAATTAACCCATTTAATTGTGACTACAATTTTTGCTCGCATATTTTTCCGTAGTATTAAAAAGCAACTCTTATTATGAAGCACATGTTCATACATAATGAAAATTTAAGATGTCTACATGAGTTCAGGGCAGGTCTAAAAAAAGTGGTGGTGGCCAATTTATGTAGAATTTACAATTCTAATCCATGAGTTCCATGAGTTCCACACCAGCACACATTTGTGATTGTTTTTTAATAATTCCACTGTTATGTCTGAGGGAGGGTTCATCTAATCCATGAGGTCCACACCAGCACACAGTTGTGACTGTTGATTGATAATTGTTGTGACAACTGATTGATATTAATGCATTGTTACATGCTTCTTGACATTGTTACGTTTCCTACCATAGGCTCATATTTCATCATATGTTTATTTATTCATTTTTTATTTATTCCTTAATTTTTAAAAACCTTCAGTTTTTTTTTTTTCATTTTGTAATTTTACTTATTTACTATGTTATTTATTTCGGTTTATAATGAAGTTTATAATAATTACCTTCTAAGTTCCTATAATTTGTCATTTTGTCATCATTTTATATATTTATTTGTGCCAAACTGCTGCATAAGATTGATGTTTTGTCCTTTTTGAAACTGAGTCAGACAATGTTTACTTCTTTGTTAATGGAATAAAATATTGTTTCAACAATTTAAACCAGTCTTTAAACTAATTTCTGGAGATTTGTCATTTTGTAAATGCATTTACGCTATAGACCTAGACTCCCTGTGTTCTACTACCGGTCACAATTGTGACCAGACATAAAACTCATTTTTTCATGGACTTTTCAATCATTTTTTAAATAATTGACATTGATTGTTTAATATCCTTACAAATGTCACACAAATTCATATATGTCATATCTGGGAAAAATTTGGGATTAAATGGGTTAAAACAAACATTCAGAGCTACCTTCCATGTCTGCTGCCTCTCCTTCTTCTTCTTCATCATCATCTTCATCACCTTTTCCACATGCACCCGTCCGCACGTTCATATTCATATTGTCCTTCACATG